CATGGGGAACAATTCCTTCCCCTTGGGGCTGTCAGGCACGGGAAGGGGCTGCCCAGGGAAGGGGTCGAGGCCCCCGCCCTGGGGGGATTTAACAGCCGGGCAGAGGCGGTGCTGAGGGCCAGGGTTTGGGGGTGGGATGGCAGGGGTAGGGGAGCGGTTGGGCTGGGGGAGCTTAAAGGGCTTTTCCAACCTAAATGATTCTGTGATTCTATGACAGTAATCGGGGAGAAAACACAAAAGAAAAGGTTCAAAGCCTAAGTGATCGGTGTGGCACCTGGTAGCCACCATACAGCTTGCCTTGCTAGAAAACAGCCACAACGCTGAGGCCAACATCTTGTAAAGAGGCCCAGGTTTTTCTAGGAGAAGTATTGTTACTTATGGTCAAAACTGATGCCTTTTAAGAAACAAATATTTCTGAAAGCTATGTGACTTGCTACACTATCTCATTAGAAATTGGGGGGGATGTATTTGGGGAAAGAAATGAACATTAAGAATTAGTCTAAGACTTTATTAAGCTGGGCTATCACATAATGCAAAAAGACAGGTATCTGAAAAATTGTGTGAAAGCTGTGTTCCTCGTGGAATCTGAGATTCTCCTCTTTAAACCCTTTGAAATTGGGCTCATAGAAAGGCAAGAACATTTATGAAAATGTTCCAGTTTAAGAACAAAAAAAAATAAAATCAAATGCACCGACATTCTGCCAGATCTATTCTGAAGACATTTGATTTGCTGCTTCTTCCAACAAACCAGCTGAGACCACGTTAAGTCTCATGAATGTTTTCATTATTATAAATATATACGTCTACATACATTTAAAAGTCTCCTTTACAATATAAGCCCACGTGAAGCTGAACAACAAAATTGCCTTATTTTTCATACTGGTTGGAAAACAGAAAGCTACTAGTTAGGTTTCAAGAACTGATAAAGGGGAAAAAACCAACAAAAGATATTACCAGACCAGAGAAAAGTAAAATTCCTCTCCTGCCTCCATTTCCCCCCTTGCTGAAGTGGTGGCTGGTAACCCAGCAACCAGTTACGCAGAATTTGGAGACACCGAGTTCAGCTCAACGGGCAAATTAAACCACTCCTGTAACCAGCTTGCCCATCTGGACAATGAAACCGCCTCTGCAACACGCAAAAAAATGTATAGGACTACTCATTAAAAAGGTCTTTTGTGTCATATAGGAATGTTTTATGAAAACAAAGTATGTTCAGATTTTTATCAAAAGCCCGAGAACAAACCCTAACCTCTCCCCCGCCCTGAGTAACTTCAACAAAATAGAACTTTTTCATAAATACAGCATTCTTAAAAACATTAGTCATTAGGTTGAGAAATTAAACTTCTTTCTACTGCCTCATCATAAACTAGGCTAACAGCCATGACATGAGGATCACTTCATCTGGAAAAAATGGTTATCACCCTATTTCTTCACAAGAATTTCATACGGTGTAATTAGCGTGCATACATCCGGCCAAGTCGATCACAGTTCTTACAGTAGGATTCATCTCATCTGATTTCAACGCCCTCGAGTTAGCCATTTAAAGGTAACATACTCCTGTGAGTCAAAGGAAAGAAAGAAAGAGACGCTCGTACAGGGCGCTAGAGATGGGGGGATAAGGGGTAGGAGCATTGCAGTCACACCGAGATAAACCCTGCCCTTCTGAATTAGTGATGATGGCTTGGATTCCATTAAACCACAGAATCCCAGCATGGCAGGGGCTGGCAGGGACCTCGGGAGCTCACCCAGTGCCCCCCCCCTGCCCAAGCAGGCTCACCCAGAGCAGGGGGCACGGGACAGCATCCAGGAGGGGGTTGAAGAGCTCCAGAGAAGGAGACTCCACAGCCCCCCTGGGCAGCCTGGGCCAGGGCTCGGGCACCCTCACAGTCAACAAGTTCTTCCTCCCGTTCACCTGGAACCTCTTGTGCTTCAGTTTGTGCCCATGGCCCCTTGTCCTGGCGCTGGGCACCACTGGGAAGAGTCTGGCTGCGTCCTCGTGACCCCCACCCTTGAGATATTTGTAGGTGTTGATGAGATCCCCTCTCAGCCTTCTCTTCTCCAGGCTGAACAAGCCCAGCTCCCTCAGCCTTTCCTCGTAGGGGAGATGCCCCAGTCCTCTCATCATCCTTGTTGCCCTCCTCTGGACTCGAGGAGTTCCTCATCTTTCTTGAACCGGGGAGCAACTGTACCCTTAAATGTGAAATAACAGCTTGCATAGCATGCACACACCAAAACCTGGCCAGACATTACCGGGTCAGTGGCACTGCTTGCTGCTAAGGAGCGTTCGTTTTCCTGGGAATCAGTGCAGATCGCCCATCCTTTCCAAACTGGAAGTCCGTATTCCCGAAAGGCTGAAAACACCACGCCTTAATATAAGTGAATGTGTTACAAGCCTTGCCTTTGTAATTGAGCAGCACAAGCAGAAAATCTTCACAATACAGCAGCAACCCACATATCAGCAAGGGAAGTTTTATTCTTGCACTTGAAGCAGAGGCTGTTTGTTATGAGGAGATACTGATACTATGGGGGGTGGAATCTCTCCTTAAACACGAGAAAATTAATTGTAGAGCCTATTTTAGTATCTTAGTGACCTCCTGCTTCAGGGATAAACATGTAAACGGACCACGTGCCATTCCTGCACCCAAAAGAGAATTCTTAAATCTCACTGAGCTGTGCTGCCGGCAGAGATGGATGCACGCAAGCATGGATCTAGCTAGGGAGCCTGGGGAACGCCAACAGCACGTGCCGCACAGCCCGCAGCTTTCGCCCCATCACGAGCTGACCGTTCCCCACCACAAAACAGGTAGAACAAACCTCCGCACGGAAAGCTTCCTGAACAGGAATCATCTTTTACAGCCCCTTCTGGCACCTTTTCCCAGGGAGCTGCTACCAAGGCCACCGTCAGGCACAGCAGCCACCCCACGTGCCCTATCAGCCTCGGTGTGCCGAGCAGAGCGCCGCGGAGCGACTGCAGAGCCTGCTCGGAGCTGCAGGCACTGCTAGCAAAAGATGCCATTGGGTTTGAAAAATTAAAGGAAAAGAGTTGAGCGAGGCAGAGCGAGACAATCTTTTAATCGCAGATTGTTTGTATCTAAGAATATTCATTTCCAGACAAGCTCAGGGGCATTAGCTGTCGCTCAGCTTGGGAAGATCCACAGCAAAGCCAGGATCTTTGTTTCAAACCACAGCCCGAATAAATCTGTTACCTGGTAATTTGTCATAATAAACAATTGCTTGGAAAAAACACTAGAGTAGAGATAAACAAACCTCTCACAGCAAATTACTCATCCAGTAAATTTTATGCTTTTCCAGTTCAAGAATTGCCAGGGAGCAGCCTTGGTTTGTCCTGACTGTTCTGCTAGTCAGCACGGGCTTGGCACTCATTTGGGTGGGCATG